GTTGACTTGTGCCGAGTTGACTTGTGGCCGAGTAGAACGTAGCCAATTTTTTTGTGGCCGAGTTGACTTGTGGCCGGAACTTTTTGTGGCCGAGTTGATTTGTGGCCGAGTTGACTTGTGGCCGAGTTGACTTGTGGCCGAGTTGACTTGTGGCCGAGTTGACTGTGGCCGAGTTGACTTGTGGCCGAGTTGACCTGCACCCGATGGTCTTTGTCTTGCATCATGGCTACTACTTAGTCAGACTTTCGCATTGCTTATTTACTAAGCATTGTACATTTTTAAGATGGATTTTCGGAAGCTACTAAACCAAATAATTCAGCCGTATATAAGAACACTTTCCATTATTCATTTGTAGAACAGTTGTAGAATTAAAATGATTTAGTTTTCTTAAAAAGTATAGTCTAGAATTTCCCTTTGACATGATTAATTTACACACCCAACCAAGTACTTATACTACAACACAATATCAATATTAATATTAATATTAGTGCAATACAAGCAGTTAAAACACCATATTTATTTAAATAAACGCCCCGCTTGGAATAAACGCCCCCTCCGGTTTTATAATTATTTCATTAAGTTGAAATTATTAAAACATTGCTAATTATCAAATGTTTTTCTTACCATGTCAGGAACTGGACTCTCCCTTTTTCTACATGCTTCGCGTAATCTGAAAAGTAACAAATGTTTTATTCATACCACACAAATTTAATGAATAATACAAATATTTGAAACAATAGTTTGACACTGAGCTTTAGTTATGATACTTACTCATCACACATCTCAAATGTTTGCTTGATTGTTGTCTGTAGCATGTTGATTTCATTTTGATACTGAACTACTGTACACCCCTCTTTGTTTCCAATGCCTATTAATAGAATACCAAATAAAAAAAAAGAAAGAACATTAAAATATAAGAACACAAATCATTAAATACGGAAGTGAAGCCAAGCAATTATGTTGTAAGGGAAAAAATTATTGAACATTGAAAAAAATACTTTTTTTAAACGTATTTTACTGTATGTTAAATGCAGGGTAAACACCAAATTTTTACAGTTCTGTAGAAAGTTCAATTTGGCTTTCTTTTATCTTCTTGATGTTTTTTCGTAATAGTGTAATTCCGAAAAGGAGAGTCCTTCAAAAACCAGATAGCCAAAACAATGATTTAAAATAAAGAATGATAGACAGCATATAAATATAACAGTTATGTTGTTTTGATCCTGTTTGTTTGTTGCTTAATTTAGTTTCTGTTTTTTGCTAATGTTTTTTGCCATGGAAATATCCTTCAATAGAGTTCTACACTTTCGGTTATCCTTGGAGGACTTTGTCCTAAAATGTATAAATCAATAAATAAAACATGTGTCTGTTGATCTCACCTTTAAGTAGTTTCTCAAGATCTAGAATTTCTTTTCGTATTGCAGTGGAACTCCTAGATTCACCATATTGCCTGAAAATGTAGCCATAATTAGCTTAGTTTACTTTATTTAAAATTGCATTATATGCAGAAAGCCTGCCACTTGTAGAATGGAAAAAATACACACACAAATATTTATTCATTTTATAATTATTTTACATATAACTTTTATTTTTGTGAACCTCACCTTATATCATGCAATAATTTACCATCAGGGCCATAAATTTGTCCATGTTTTGTGTGGGAACACACATGGTCAGGGGGTATGTGTTTAGCCTGCAACAAAATTTGAAAAAACGACCATAACTAAATAACTCTACTGTAATGGTTAAAAAAAAAAAAAAAACAACTTGTTTTGTTGTAAATTTATGATCAATTAAATTTGTGTGAAAATAAAAAATAATTTGAATTTAGAATTTTAACTATTATCATTAATGTTTTTGCAAATAATTGTGAAGCCGTGCACCACTGCACTGATGGTCATCGGCTGATGTAGATTCTATAGCTCGGAATACATGGAATGCAAGGGATCATTTTGAATGATGATACGCTCAGACTGTATGCTTCACATCACTGAGTGCATGCCGAGAATGGGTTCATTGACTGACAGTTGTACGATACAGTGTGTTGGTAAGCTTAGAACCACACCCTCTGTAATGATAATAGTGTGATTATAGTCTTATTGTGATTATTATTATAGGCCTATAAGAGGACATCCATTTTCTAATTTATTTCTATTTAAAGGATAAAACAAAGAGCTTGGGGAGGGGGTTAACCATGCTTATATGCTTTTATAAATATAATTTTAAAAAATTAATCTCAAAATAACATATTATAATTTTCTTTCAGTAGAGTCTGTAATAATAATAATAATAATAATAATAATAATAATAATAATAATAATATCACTAAGTATTGTAACTTACCACATCATAATGGAACAAATCTTTTGGATCCTAGGTATAAAGAAAAATTCATAAATTTTAGTATATAAATAGCTAATAGATTTTCGTACGCCAAAGTCAATCAAATGTAACTAAGACAAGCCAAACCAGTCACTCCTCGCAAATCATGTTTCAGAGACATGATGATGATGATGGAATGTCAACATTTTTTAAATCTATTGCATTGCACTAAACTATACCTTTATACTGTATATCTATACATCATGTTATGTTGTTATTTTCCCCACTGTCAACATTTAAACAACAATGACAATCCTAGATATATAGGTAACTCACATAGGGTTTGTATGGAGCTGGAATAAGTTTGCATTTCTCTTGATCTAAATCATCATTAGGTGGCGGTACCGTTGGCAGCATCTCTCCTTGTACATGTAAACAAGGTAAGAAAATGAGGCAATCTTGAGAGCTAACACCACATCTGTAATATCATAATTGTACAATAATTACAATAAATAATTAGCTTCAATAGTAATAACAACAGCATAACATGTAATAATTATTACTTCAAATGGCAATCTTCATGGCAGCAACAACAAAGGCAGTGAAAATGGCACCAACAGTAGTGGCATCGATATTCCATTAAAGGGAAGTGGTTTCTTCTTACCAAACCTTCATATTTAGTTGAATTTGCCTAAGTTGAATACAAAATGGCATTGAAAAATTGTTTGACATAGACAAAATTCAACTTGCAGTTCGTTATTAAATGGAAAACATAACAATTTAGCATGTAAAATAAGATCGACTTAGAAATTATTCGAGTTAGGAAAAGTTGACTCAGGCAAGTTTAACTGTATTAAAGATTATTATAAAAATGAAAATTATGTACAGTACAAAGGTTTGGACTTTGCATTTAAAGGACGATTATGGTGCCTAGCTACTATGCCACAGTTATATTGACTTACATATCTTCATCAACATCTTCTAAGAGCCATTCTGTTAGCCTTGCAACCCCAGATGGAATTTTCCTTGTTGAAACCACACATTGTTTACTTGGAATAATTTTCTCTTCTTGAGATTCTGCAGCACTGGAGGAGTCTAATTTATATGGGTACTGTTTTGTCTGCTCTTCTATATCACCTTTGACCTTATCTGAAGATGAAGTACCCCTCTCAAGACCAAAGATGGCAGGTTGAAGGGTTACCCCATCCTTGGGAAGAATATCCTTCTTAAGTTTTGTATTCAGTGTCTTTAATTTGAAGTTTCTTTGAGGGCACCTACTGATTTCTTTAACCTTGAATGAATTTGTTGGGGCGTTAAGTCTTTCACGGTTTGTGAATGCCGACTTAGGGCGCATGCTCTCAGTAAATTTAACCTCAAGGTAGCTTAGTTTGTCCTCCCGCTTTTCAACATGAGAAGTTGAGATTCTTGGTTTTGCGCTTTGAACGCGACGTCGCATCATCGGACACTCATGATGAGGTGGCCGATTCTCAGAAGGAGGAACCGGTTCAAACATCAGCTGAGCTGTCTTCAGGTTTGAGTTAAATCTGGACGGATTCATTTTGAGAGACAACCTCACGTAAATATGATGGGGCGCAAAATATCATCCTTCAAAACAGAATCACATCAACTGGAAAACAACAGAAATAATGCTATATAGTAAATATAGGCCTAGTCTATCAATAATGCGAATGAATTAAAATACAAACAATTTTGAAATCATAAACAAACATTTATCATTTTGTTTATTTATTGGAACTGATATAATATGTGAGTTACTTTTAAAACTACTCAGGGGTGAACCGGTATATCACAAGGATGAATAAGAAGGCAGAGACGTCCCCACATCAACTCGACTCAAAAGTAGGATGAAGATTTTTGGGCCACATTTTCTTAGTTTTCACAATAATTTATCAGTAATCCGACAAGTATAAGTTGTCTAGGGACAGTGTAACCAAAGATCCTGATGGAAAAGTCATTTGTTTTGAACTTTAGACCTAGGCCCTATTATTTATGTGCAAGCCTGATCAATTTCTGTAGTATTTTGTGTCTATTTCCGTACGTCCGTAATTAGGCAAAATTTCCGTAGAAAATAGGCCTAACTACGGACGTTCTGTAGTACTTCAGAAGTCTGTCTTAGCCTATGAACACACAAGCTAGCAATAGGGCCTAACTCTACTGACGTAGCCGAGACTAGAGCGTGAGTTCAACAACAGGTTTATTTACTCTCTCTTGAGAGCTTAGGCCAGGCCTAGGCTAGGATCTAAACTTTATAGACAATCGCAATCATTTATTACATCTCAAAACAATAGTGCTATTTAATGCTTTAGTAGACCATGTTTTGCAAATAAACCAAAATAAACTGTAAATTTATGTATTCTTTACCTATCCTTTTTATCGCAGTGTTTACAGTCGCGATGGCAAAATAAGTTCGAAGGTCATCATGGGATCACCCTAGTCGTAGAGGGCGCTATCAATAATCCGAATGAACTCTGAAAAAGTGCTGTATAATATTAATAACTGATTCAAAACAATCGTTTATTACCCTATACCTGTCATTTAAAGTGGTGATGTCGAAGACTATTGTAAGTAATGAGATTAGTTTTATTGTTTTGCCATTAAATAAAATGTTTCAAAAATCATTAACTTTCTGGAAACTAAGTAATTTCCTAGGCCAGTGCTTATCCAGTAATATTTTTTGCCGGTGGAGAAGTAGTCAAGTTGCCCTGTGGTAACTAGACAGTTTTGGTTTTCTCGTGGACGATTCGTACCAGTTCTGTATGATTGGTTCATTGGTTTTCTTTTTTGCATAAAAAAATACAGACCAAATTAATTCAAAATGGTAGGGCACACCGTACCATAGATAGCCCTTGAAACCAGTATTTATTAAAGCCTACTTTACAAGGTATGTATGGCTGTGAAGGAAGTTGTTCAATTTTCTGAGCAACAGATATATCCAACCAGTTCACCTAGGCTATATGCTTTATTCCAGACTGTAGTCATTAATTGTAAGATAAATCAAATTCACTGTAGTAATTGTATGTTAATATAGAAGTAGAAATAGTGTTTATTTGAAACTGAAAATAAAATCCAGACATATAACTATTGGAGTCAATATGTAAATATATATATATAATATATGTATATTTAATTGTGAAAATGTGGTTGAAAAGTTCTTTCTCTTCATGTCAAGGTGTTTCTTTAACAAAGTGGAGTCTATTATAATATCCTTTCAGCACAATTTTCACAATTAGAATAAATTTACTGAATGAATTTAAAAAAAAAAAATCATTTTCTCAACAGATTGTTCGAATTCAGTCACCAGAGGGCACAAAGCGAATCAATGTTTCACCATCGTCATCCTGTTCAAAATTATTACGCAAGGTAACACCATTTATAATAATGTTTAATGAACATGCAGCTTAGCTCAGTCGGCTAATCTGGTGGTAGCCACTGTGTGTGCGCTGAACCGTGGAGATCTCTAGGTCCCCGGTTCAATTCCCATCGCTGCCTCTCCTTGTGTTTCAGCTAGAGGGCTGAAATACAAGTTACAATAGCGCACCGTCTTTCAGGTGAGACGTTTAAGCCGTTGGTCCCACACTATTTCTACTTCTATATTATGGCCCATGTGCACATTAAAGAACGCAGTACACTCTTCGGAAAAGAGTAGAGGATTGTCTCCCGGTGTTCTGTCCAATCACCACCAGAAAGACCCCACTGGAAATAAGTCTTCTTCTAGACTTTCGTGGGCTATCCTTGGAGTTTACACTGAATAAATCCAATCCAATCCAATCCAATCCATGAACAATGCCTTTATTATTGGTTCAGATTCTCGTTCAGGTGCCACCACCTGTGTCTCCGTGTAGGATTTCCCAGTCCATTCAGTGATGTTATCTGCCCTCTTCTTCCTTTGTCTGCCTCGTCTTCAGCTGCCTGGAGTGGTACCTTGTAGGATTGGACAGGGCCTTGGCTCTGGTTACATGGCCGTATCATTGTAACTTCCTCTATCTATTCGACGATGGTCTAGAGGTATTCAACCAGGTCTGTTGCTGCTCTGATAGTATTGAGCACCAAATTTCTTTTCATTATTATGCAGAAGTGGTGTGGCGCAGTAATGTATAAAAATGTATTGGTTATTATATTTACATTCTGTATTTTTTAGCCCTGTTATTCAAAGTTAATACTAAATAAAATGTATGATATTTAAATACTGTATATCTATTGTATAAATACATTATATGCCAAATATTGATATTTTAACAGGTAGCAGATGAACTCCAGTTGCCTAAAGATGGCTTCAACCTCTACAAAAACAGAAACAAAACACAAGAGCTGACATCATCGTCATCATCACGACAAACCATTAGTAGCTTCCAAATAAGGTAAAATGCTAGTATGTAATACATATCCAGGTCTCCCTCTAATATAAGACCCCTCCAATTAAAGACCACTTTGTGTGGTCCCATATTAACAAAATGTCTTTTTATCTTGATTATTCTAATTAGAGACCAAAAAAGACCATGAAAACCCTGGTTCTAAAAGTGGTATTTAGTTGGTGGGAGACTTCTATTTAATTTTAAATCCAAAATATTTAACCAAAACAATAACTTTCTTGCTCAAAAATATTTCATAATTTTCAGAAGAGACCTAATAACCAGAATAAAATAAGTATTGTTAAAATTAATTACACATATGAATTTATTATTTTACTACAGAAATGGAGACATGCTTTATTTGTTCCCAAATGTTCGTGGTGCGAGTGCAATGGAAACAGAGGATGCTGGTACTGGTGAGGCGGGCGTTACCGCTGCCCCGGGTGAGGTTGAGGAGGACGAAGTGGACGTGCTCCTGGCTAAAGAAGATGGCCGCATTTATAGAAAGAGAGATCAACAATTGTATGTTGTATGCAGATTGACATTATTATTGTTATTTTTAACATTTCATTTCGTCCTGAGAGAGCAGCCTAGCTTTCAGAGAGCAGCCTAGCTCAGTTGGCTAATCTGGTGGTAGCCACTGTGTGTGCGCTGAACTGTGGAGATCTCTAGGTCCCGGGTTCAATTCCCATCGCTGCCTCTCCTTGTGTTTCAGCTAGAGGGTTGAAATACAAGCTACAATAGCGCACCGTCTTTCAGATGAGATGTTTTAGGCCGTTGGTCCCGTGTGCATTTATGGCCCATGTGCATGTTAAAGAACGCAGTACACTCTTTGGAAAAGAGTAGGGGATTGTCTCCCGGTGTACTACCCAATCACCACCAGAAGGACCCCACTGGAAGTAAGTCTTCTTCTAGACTTAGCTGATAAATAATGTTTTCCATTATAGATATTAATTAACATAACATACAGATGTTAATAAAACCTTCCTTGTTTATTGTGATCTGAAGCCAGGCAACTCACTGCTCTCAATGGTAGTTGGCCGACATGACTCTATGGTGAACGCAATGCCGCAACGTGCATGTAACGGATAATTTTTAATGACGATCTGTGCAGACTGCCACCTACGGTTAGCAGACGGCATCGCGTCATCTAGTACTCCAAGATAGTGGAGTTGGATTTCGTCAGACGCATTAAGTGCACAACTTTACTCTCCAAGTGTGTGCTACTGTAATTGTATCCGGGATTCAATTCTTGTCAAACAACAGAATTTTTTTATCACAACAAAAAACTCCACTTCCTAATGTTTGTCTAATGAATGGGATTGTCATTTATGAATAAACTAAATAGAAATATATAAAAATCATCATCATCATTCATAATATTAGAATATTATTTTATTAAATTATTTTTATTAGTGTTGTTGTCATAATTAATAATCATATATAAAATTTTTATTTTAGCTGTCATCACAACGAGAACTCTAAATGTGTGCATTGTGTCCCATTGGAGGTAAGTGAATAGGAATAATTTGTTAAATAATTAATGTAAGATGTTATATATAGCGCCCTCTGCCGAAAGACACAAGGTTATTATCATAAAGGCATTAAAGAACTAGAGTGCTGACTAGGCGACGAAGCAATGCAGAGTTGTGTATGTGTGCCATCCAAGATGGCCACAGTAGGAAAGCGCCGCCTTCAGGCTTAGTGTGCATATTTACAACCATGATTAAGACCGCTAACTAACTGTTATTTCATTAATCATTATTATTATTAATATTAATAAATTACTAAACTGTGGGAACCAAAAAGAGGCCAAGTGGAGTATCTGATTTAAAAATAAAGTACTGAAGAATGAAAATCGAAATCATGTACGCTACACCACAACACCTAAGTTTCTACGTAGATGTATTCAAAACTTACATTAGAGGCGACATTGAAATGATGCTTAGCGCATTATGATTGGTTGAATCTATGGTAGCTGTCTTGTATGGTACACACACAGCTCTGCGTATTTCAAACATGGAATACATAGCAGTTAGCACTCTAGTATTTTTATTATACCTCTATGGTTATTATGCACAAGGGAAAACTTTCTCCACTCCTAAGGGAGTGCTGGTCTTATCTGTGCACATACTGTAGGCCTACTGCCTTTACTATCATGGATACCAGTTCATCTCCCAAGAAGTAATGCAGATAAACTAACCTTCCCAGGTAGGGAATATAATAATATTTAATAATGATTTAAATTAAAGGTATTAAATAGAGATGTAGAGTAGTAGATAAGATAAGTGGATTCAGATTGTTAATACATAAATGTAAGTTTGAGGGCTCTCTTTCTACATACTGTAATTCTTCAATAACGAATTGTTGATCCTTTTAATCCTGCAACATTCATATTCCAATGGGTTCTCCGGTAAATTCTTCCTTCAAATATTTCTTTATCAACAAATCTGTTCTCCAACTAACAACAACCAAAGCCATATAATATACCATGTGACAGCGACACAGAAAAATGTACGCATTCTGAGTTGCAGTGTGAGCTATAACTGATAAATTGAGATCAGTACAAAAAAGCAAAGAAATCACTCAAATAGTAATGGATACAAATTTCAATATAGCTCAATTTGAAATGATAATAATTCACAGATAGTAGTTGGTATTTAGTGGTGTTTATGAAGCCTTTTTCTTTCTTTTTTTCAGCCGTATGATGAGAAGTACATGATGATGCAAGACCCACCCATAAAGCACATGTCCTTTCACACATATATACGCAAGTTGAAAGGCGGTGCAGATAAGTAAGATATTTTTTTTTTATTGCTATTTAGGCAAGACTTTTTCTATTCCTTGTTTCGCGTACTTATGTTTTTTAAAGATTATCGGAGGAGGGCGGAATAAGAATAAAAATAAAATTTTGTTTTCTTATTTAGCAAATAGTTTTGCCAAAATCATCCAGACAGAGGAACAAATAAAAATAAAATTTTAATGGGAAATGTAAAATAGAATGGTTACATTTTTCAAATTATAAAAATAGTAAGAAATATACATATCTTATCTTTGGAGATTTCAAGGCAGTGGAGGGGGTAATAAAAATAATGAAAAACTTTCATTTTTTTCTGAAATTTCCACTTTTTCGTGGCAGCGGGTGCGCTAATTGGCCAAAAATAAAATTTGATTTTTATTTGAAATCATCAATATTTGCAGTCGGCTGGTTTGCTAAACAAGGTATAAAAATGGTCTCGCCTTATCTTCTATTTTTTATATCTCTACATTAGATTAAGTAACGATAAATACAGTAAGAATATTTTTTGTAATGAATATTTAAATTATTACCTGTGATTTAACCATAATAATAATAAGGATGTGATATGGCATCACAGGGTTCTCACCAGCATTTTGGAGTGGTGGTTGGTGACCACCCCCAGCCCAGGGGGCGTGGTTGCCGATGTCAAAACTTCCCCCTCCACTGGCTGACAAAATCAGGTTAATCAACAACTCTGTACTCTGGTAGTCGTGCAATTTTGTTAGCTTACGTTTTTTTCCACTATCAACTGTAAAAATAGTGGTGGTCGGCGGCCTAAAAATACTGGTGGGAAATGTTGAGTGCTGGATGGGCCCGACCACTGCCGACCAGCGTAGTGAGAACCCTGGCATCATCATGCCCATATATGGGCAAATCAAAAATATGTTTAAAATTAGGAGTGTAGCCAGGATTCTTTCAATATTTTACCATCAACCAACCTGAAAAGTGTAGGTATACTGTATTATGAAAACTGAATACTATTCCCAGTGGACTTTTCTTTTTATCATACAGGGGTAAATTTATTAATCTTGAAAACTTGTCATGTAAAATAAAGACAAACTGTCCAACTGGGCATGCTCCGTGGCCTGAGGGCATTTGCACAAACTGTCAACCCAGCCCAGTGACTCTAGATAGACAGGTAAGTATATTGAATACTACCCTACACATTTAATATGGTGTACTCTTCCAGGGATCTGAGTATGTTCATATTGTTCCAATGATTGTATTAATAATGTGAAGTATGTAGAGGTCTTGGCATTATGCAATCTATATGTATGCAAACATTATATCAAGGATCGAGGAATTAAAAATAGAGTGGTCCCCGGGGGACTTTCGCAGATGGAGGGTCTATACCACCCAATCACAACCTTGATGATTATGGCACCACTAGATTGCTGGAAATGGCACTCCCAGACTTAAATTTGAATATAATTTGCTTTTTTTCTCCCTTTTATTTTATAATTTTGAACAAATTTAGAGGGGTGGGGTGGGGTGGCCAGCTGGTTCCCCCCTCTCCCCTTGAATCCACCACTGTATTTCCATACATACAACTTCAGGCCAGCTCAAATGCAACCTTATTTCACTCTGTTCCTGTTAGAGACACAACTAATACTTTAGATATGCCTAGCTTTAATCTCATGATTGAAGCTTATAGCAGTAATGAATAGGTGAAATAGTTACAGGTCTCCCTCTAATTAAGGACCCTCTGATTAAAGACCAAAAATTGACAAATGTCTTTATTATTCTAATTAGAGACCAAAGCTGCTAAAGTTCATGAAAACAGTGGCAGCTCTAGGATATATTTTCTGGGGGAACTGAGCTGTCCGACAGGGGGACTTGGGCTCGTGGTCCGAGTTGGGGGAAGGATTTTAGAGGGTGTTTCCCCTCCCAAATGAAATTTTTTTAAGAATAGGAATAAGAAAATGACACTCTCTGATTGTGGCAGACATGCGTTGGCTTGGCGTGGGCCTATTTTTATATATTTTTTAAGTCCAACTGCCTGACGAGCTCTGTCTGGTGGGGGAGGGGGGTCTTGACATGTTTAGTGGGGGACTTAAGCACCTGCTGCACCCCTCCTCCCGCTGGCATGGCCACTGCATGAAAACCCTAGTCCCAAAAGTCATCTGTAGTTGGAAGGAGACCTGTATTTATTTCGCTATCTTCATGTGTTTACTGATATCATTTTACTTATATAATTATTATATGTTTTTTCCTGTAGATGTATCGACATGTAGATAATGTAATGTTTGAGAATGGATCCGTCATAGATCACTTTCTAGAGTACTGGCGTAAGACTGGTTTCCAGCGGATAGGGTACATGCTAGGTCGCTATGATATTCATAAAGATGTTCCACTTGGAATAAAGGCTATTGTTTCCACAATATATGAACCTCCTCAGGTAAGCAGACCAGGCTTAAACTGAATCCACATTTACAATTTCCTCCATCGTCATTGTTCCAACTCCAGCGTCATTGTTCGATTTTCTGATCATAGGGCTTTCCAATCCAAAAATGTATGGATTTGGTGTGAATGCACCTTTGAAGTATGGAAAATATAGGCCAAGTAAAAATAGAAACTTGTTCCTCATCCACGCCTGCTGTTATTTTTTTTTTTTCTGCCACATTTTTAAAAATGTTAAGTAGATATATAAGACAATCCCCACTAACATGTTTGTGGTCTGGGTAAAGGTACTTTATCCATTGTGTTGTCTGCAAGGGTATATATAAGTGGGTATGTTGTAGTATATCGAAATCCTATATTGATTACTAGCAGAAATAGATAATAGAATACATAGTATAGACATGCATTAGTGTTGGGATTTAATAGTCGCTAAACAACATTGTATATATGTTTAATAATAAATGCAATAATATATGTGTTAATATTTTAAATATAACTTACCTATCAGTTTTTAAAATTCACTTTATTTTTTTTAACAGTTATACATTCTTGTAGTATAAAAAGCTGTATTAATATATTTCTTTTCTATTTAATTCAGAGAGCTACAGCCAATAGTGTTGAACTACTTTTAGATCCAAAAAATGAAACATTAGATAGAATAGCAAACAAACTTGGGCTAAGAAAGGTAAGGATAAGTTAATTGCTTGAGACTTTCCAGAGTATTTTCTGTCAATCAATCCATCAATTTTCTGTCAATCAATCAGCCACTTAATCACTTTATAAATCCTTTACATAAATTAATTGGTAAGTCAATTTGTCATTAATTGATTTATCAATTATTCAATCAGTCAACCAATTGACCAAACGTCAATCAATGTATTGGTGAATTAATCAATTAATTATTCAGTCAGTCAATCAATCAGTTGTTTAATCATTTGATCAGTTAATCAGTTGTTAAATCATTTGATCAGTTAATCAGTTGTTAAATTGATATATTAATCAATCAATTAGTTGTTCAATCAGTTAAGTGATTAATCAATCAGTTGAATAATCTTAAAAAATCAGAGAGTGAATTATAATGATGTATTTTTGATGCCTTAATCTGATTGATTTTTTATTAGATGTTCCCATTCAGTTTAATCTATGTTTACTTTTATGTCATATAGATTATACCATAAAAACCTCTTTATCAAATTTATTGCACTTTTTGAATGTAGTTATATTGTTATATGATTACATATAATTGTAATAAATATTGCCCCTTGATAGCATTTATGACAATTAAGATCATAAAAAAATAGATTAGATGTTTGCCCTCTTATACCATTGATTCTAAATTCCAAGTATCTGCTGCCCTCGGGAGACTCACCCTTGTTGAGTTTTGTAAACATATTGAACAATCTGGATAAAATCTGTTAGAGATTAGCAGAGCCTTGAACCTGATTTGACGTCCAAATATAACTTGCTCTCACCCCACAATTTTTCTTCTTAACCCTTGAAAAATTCCTTCTAATTTTAGGCATTAAATTTTATTCGCTTGACTTCAGTTCTTCAACTCTTGCTGGAATATATTGTTTTTGTTGACCTGTAACATGTGGATATTGACTTCCACTATCATGTAGCCTATCACCATATGTTGAGATTTCAGACATGTTAAACTAGATTCTTTTGTCTGGGATAAAATTCTGGAAAATCATCAATAAATTAGTTAACACTGAATTGCCAGGTTTTGAACTGATGATCTGAGACGCCTATTTTATGACACTGCTAAATGGCTGTAAATGGCACTGTGAAATTTAAATTTAAATGTATTGTTCCCCGGTTTTGTAATTTTCAAAACAATTTGAGGGTTCAGGCTAGCCCCCTCCCCCCATAAATCTGCCCTGTTAAAATTACAGTAGTTATACAGTGCACCCCCCAATTCGTGACACCTCAAATTTGAAATTACTGTTTCACAGAACCAAATAATAAAATCTAAAAGCTAACACTATAATTGGAAACCAAATCCTGAGACCACCCCAGATTTTCAGTTCTCAAGGTGGTCTCAGAATGGAGACGAACTGTATTCATAATTTTACGTACTTGTGCCATTTTTCTGTGTACAGACAGATTGATATTTTACAGACAATAAAGCTTTTTTTGGATTGATCTATGGTCTCAGCCCGTCTGAATTGGATGTCTAATTTCACTTAAATTGGTTCATCACTATCAATAATTCTACCATATGCCTTACCATCAGTTTCTAGCCAATTCTGATAATATTATCTTTTTCTTTATTTGTCTGGGTGATATTAGTAAAGTACCATCTTGTATGTCTTTAGCTCTTTTCTGCAATCATCTTGATTAGGCCAGCTGATACTATGGTAACTAAACAGCCAATATGATCTGACTTGTGTTTACTCATCGATGATTGGCCGATTTGTTTACCTGAAACAAACCAGGCACTTCTAAATCACTGCTCCAATATGGGTGAACTGAGGTCATTATAGGACTAATGGTTTTTAATTGATTACAGATATGGACAAAACTAGTATGTTCCATTAGAACATTTTATAACCATTAACAAAAGAAACCCTTATGAAATAGTGTTGTATATAGATGTGGTATCCTATATATAGCAATAAAGATGAGATTAATAGCATATTACAGTCTGACAAACAACTTGATTTTGTTCACACAGTGAACCTTTTACAGGTGATTGCTATCATGACAGTAAATATAAAATCAAAGTAAGAAAAATAAAAAAAATGAGTCTCCCCCTTAGGTTCAGGTGGATGCTGGAACGTATCTTTAGACAGAACAATTAATTTCCCTGATCAGGACAAGTGTTGCCTACCTAATGCAAAACACTTGAATTACCCAGTCTATCAAAACAAATCAGATAATTCTGAAATATTGTGATTCAACAGGTTGCATGTACATTAATAGAATTTACACAAGTTTAGCATTACAGTGCACCCTCTAATTCTTAGACACCTCTAATTCGAGATCACTTTTTCAAAGAACAAAATAACGATTTTCAATCTTAACACAAAGCTTATCCTTTAATTTGAGACCCAATTCTGAGAGCACTTCAAATTTTCAGGAATTGGAGGGTACACTGTATGTTTGTTTTCTTTTCGCTTTACATAAATTATTTATATAATGGCAAGTTGTGGCCCCAGAGGTTTTTTGACTGGGGGCCCAATAAGTCCAATTGCAGTGGGTCCAAACCAAGGGGCCTCAGTTGGGGTCTCGGAATAAAAATCCCTTGTAGACTTCATACAGAGAATTTTTATGGCTTAATATAGCACAAAATTGTGCATTTACACCACAATATTTGGGATTTTCAACCAAGTTAACACCATTCAGATAGGCAAAATAACATTTATTGTTATTTTTTTAAGGTCATGTAGCATAGATTGATCCTGAGTTTATTTAATAGTTGTTTATGTTGTTTTCTTCCAAGGATAACTATCATTATCATAAGCTCAATAAACATTGAAACAATATCCTGATAAGATTGGGCAATAATGACATGTCCCTGGAGAATGCTCAATGCACGGACGAACACAGTAAACATTTGTTATAAATTATAATCAACAACACCAACAGAGTATTACTGAAACTTTTTGTATAACTGAAAATATTTGTAATGGTATCATTTATTTATTATTTAATCAGCAGTTTAGTCCTTACGCTGGCATAGATTATTTTGTTTACATTAATATCTCAGTATAATGTTTTATTGTCAATAAAGATACCCAGTTATAAATAGGCCTATTATGTGAACTTTGAGTTTCCCCCTTCAAATTCTTGACCTCTCTCCTTTTAATTCTGCTGAACTGAGCATTTTTTTATGTCCATCTTTATATTTCTACTTAATCTAGAATTTTGTCACCCAAAATTCCCTTTACAATTCTGCTGAATTAATGATGTTTTCTTTACTGTTTTTTTCTACTTACTTAGTCCTCCATTTTCTGACATCCAAATTTCCCTTAAGAATTTTGCCAAACCAAGATTTAATTCAACATTTTCTGACCTTCTATTTTATTCCCCCTACAAATCTGCTAAATCAAATATTCTATACTTTCATTTATATATCTTTTAAAATTTTACTTATTCGAATTGATTGAACATCATACATCCCATATTTAACCCAGCATGTTCTGTCCCCATCCCCTCAAATTCTTCACATAGTTCTGCTGACCCAAACCTTCCTCCCCCACACCACATACAATTCTGCTTAATTTTTAGAATTTATTGCCCTTCTATCTATTTAAATTATGTGCTTATGTGCAATACAACATTTCTTGATCACCATCTGTCTGTCATTATCTGACACTAGCATATTGGTAGGTAGTATATTAATAACAGACTTTTTTCCATATTTGTAGGTCGGCTGGATATTCACAGATTTAATACCAGAAGATTTAAATAAAGGAACAGTCAAGCATACAAGAAACATGGTATGTTTTTAATACCAACAGTTTTAATTGAATTTTATATACGATTCCAGTATAGTCCAGTTTGTATGGTGTTGAAACATTATTCTGTAATTTAATGGTAATCAGTCTATAGTTTCTTGACTCCACTCATTTAATGAAAATTACCGGGCAGCTAATTTGCCTATCACTAAATTTTCAGGAGCTTAAATGTACACCTGGGTAATACTCTACTCGTCTCGAAAGATGTATTGGGTTTTTAAAAGTGCAAACAAGCCAGATTTAAAAAACAGTACCAGCTACTCTTGCCTGTCCGCAACGGACTGTATGGACCAGTATACCAGGGTCCCTCTACTCGTCTCGAAAGATATACTGGGTTCTTTAAAGTGCACATGAGCCTATTGTGTACACTGGGCCTACGGTTTATAGTCCTTATCTGAGAAGACTTGTTCCACCACCAGAACCATAGACGAGCGTGCCTTTGTACCCACGCCGATACCATGTTTGTACATTGCCATGCTCCTGCCTTAATTGCTCAGCCTTTCAACTCGCCTGTATGTGAATGATAATGTGTTATTCATTGCTTACCATAGGATGCACACTTCCTTAGTGCTGAAGAATGCATCATGGCTGCTAACTTTCAGAACCAGTATTCCAATCCGTGTAACGCAGCTACAGATAGATATTTTGGATCCAAGTTTGTTACATGTATTATAACAGGTATTCCTGCTGTTAATCTCTTCGAAAAACAACCCAATCAACATTTTTAACAAACTTGGCCAACTTTTTGGCAGCTAAAGTGTTTTAATTTCGAAAAGTAACAGAAAATGTGTAATTTGCAAGAGCATAGCTTTTTTATGACAATTATAGCATTGTTTAGACAAATTGAAGAAGTGTAAAAAACCTGTTAATCCTGCATCGAGTTTTCCCTTTCTTTCTACCAGATTTTAATAATCATATTCATTATGTAGTGGTTAATTAAAATGATTAATAATTGCATCTACCTTCTCTATAAAGATTTTGTTACACACCCTTAATCATCTTAAATTATACTTGAAGCTTTGCTAATAATAGATTTCGTCCTGGATAAATCATTCCTTAAAAAAACAAATCGGATTTCTAAAACCAAGTCATGTTGTTTAAAGTGGCACAAAAAAATGCAAAAACTGTTATACTGATTACCACAATAAGCATTGTGTCTATGTATTACAAATACTGCAGATCAATCGTAATGCACTTCTACTGTGTGTGTATACCGTGTTCATGTTTGTGATTTCAACACTTCAGGTGATGTTGATAATCAGATACATCCAGAATGTTACCAGGTTTCAAATCAGTGTATGGCACTCGTCAGGGACAACTGTCTAATCCCAACAAAAGATGCCCCGGAGCTTGGCTACATACGAGAGTCCACGCAGGAACAGTATGTCCCAGATGTCTTCTATAATGTAAGCAGTCTCTATACTAGTTGCTATATCTGTGCATAAGCAATGTGCTACATCTTCTTGTCATATTTTGTGGAGCTATGTATTTTACCAATATCATTTATGATAATTGTAAGCAGCCTTGTGGATACTAAGAATCTGTGAGCTATTAATGTGCTAATTTTTATTATCTATTCTGACTGTGCATATTTTTTTTTTTATACAGTAAACATCATCTGTACTGGATATTTTACAATCTATGACATACTGAGTTGAGGATCTGTATACAAATTTAGCAGTGCTATTAATTTTTTTTTTTTTCCTGTAGGAAAAAGATAGCTATGGAAATGTGCTGAAGAAGCTAGCCCGCCCTCTACCGGTTGAATTCCTGTTACTGGACGTAAGAATTGTTTATAATTGTAAAAAGCAATTTTATCAACATAATCAATATTTTATATTTATGCTAGACACTTTATACAAATTCTTGTAACAGTATTATTTATGTGTTGTTTAACAATTACAGTATTATTATTCATTTTTTTTTTATTCATCTCTTAGGTACCCAGTGGTTTTTCGAAGGATCCTATCTATGCATTTAATGGGCGTAATGCTGCTAACCATTTCCCAATAGAAAATAGGTCAGACATTGGGGAGATCCAAGATTTATCATCCTTATCCAAGTACATGAAACAGTTTCCCAGTTCAGAGTTCTTGCAAGCAATGTCAGATTTTCATCTTCTTATTTACTTAGCAACATTTGAAATGTTTCCTCTTAAGGTAATTATCACTATCTACAAAGGTTGGTCCACACTATCAAATTTTATGCCCCTATATACATGTAGTCATGATGTGCCTATATGTGGTCATAATGTGCTTATATATGGTCATTATGTATTTATATATTCATGATGTGCCCATATATAGTCATGATGTGCCTATATATGGTCATTATGTATTTATATATTCATGATGTGCCCATATATAGTCATGGTGTGCCTATATATGGTCATGATGTGCCTATATATAGTCATGATGTGCCTATATATGGTCATGATGTGATGTCATCATGGCCATTTTAGGTATGTCACATATTTTTGTCAAATAAAGTTTGATAGCAGGGCTTTATCATGATATTAATAAACTATAATATTATAATAATTATATTAAAATATTTTTTTAGATAATGTATTTGAAACATTGATATATTTTCAATATATTCAATACTTTTTATGTTGAACATTGTTTATGTCATGTGTTTTACTTTCTAGTACCATTCTCCCTAGAGTGAGATAAATTTGTTTACATATTTCGCTGTCTATCTCGTCAATGATTAATCGACCACCGTGCTGCATATAATGAGCTCTTTGAGCCTTGACATTAATCAGTTTGTCAACATAGTTATGAAATTATTTAACCCTTACGAGGTCCACAATACCCCGATAAGATTTCACCTTGATCCCATCAAGATAATCCTGCATGAAAATGGGTCAACTGTTATGACAAAGGCTAGACTATGAGTTTCAAGAAGAAATGCATTTTAAGATGTCAGATTTTTTTTTAATGAATAAAACTACAACTGCAAATTACACAGGGATAGTTATGATTACTCACAGTACTACCAATCACAAAGGTAAAAACTCAAACACTTCTGCTCGTTAGCAAAAATAGCCAGTTATTTTTCCTTGACATGATTTGCTTGAAGTTACACGGCTCGGATAATTTTACCATAGAGAAGGTTATGTAGGCGTTTGTCCACACTGCATTATATTTTATTAATCTAACCAGGTATAAGTTGGTTTAACCAAAAAAAAAATGTCCTGTCTGAACAGGGCTCAAGTTTTTGTAGAGCTTTATTTAAAAACAACATTAAAGTAGTAAAAACAATTCACCTTATGAGTTATACTGTACTGCCTTATTTTGCCAGCTAGGGAATCCTCACTTTATCATCGAGCCCTCCCACTTTGCCCCCCCCCCCCAA